GCTGATGTGTGGTTGGAAGCACCGTTTTCTCACATTTATTTTTGTTTGGAACCATTGATGCTAGGTATGACGTTTCCTAGAGCAATAGCAATTTTTTTTGTTTGGTACCAATACTCCAGAAAATGTTTTCAGCACTGGCACCCATTGTCTAGTGCCACATCACTGCCCTATTGGCAGTAACGAGGTGCAGCTCCAGGAAATGCCAAATTTGGCATTGCTCCAAGCCATGGCTTCCCAATTTCTGAAGCGTGGCTTGGAGCACCGTTTTTTATAGAAAACGGTTCCAAACAAATGCTCATTTCCTGGAGCACCGTTTTCTCCAATATGGCACTAATGTAGTGTCATTGCTCCAGGAAATGGCAACGATGCCAAACAGACGCTTAACCATTTCAGTGATTCAGTCTCTTGTTTGTCCTTTTAGTCAAAAAATATTGACATCTATTACTCCTTTACCCCCCACCCTCGCAGCTATTGTAAGTTGATAACCTGTCATGTTCAAGAACATTCCCAACGGCTGAACTTTCTCTAACTTTTGATAAGGTAGGCCGGCTCAAAAAACTTTGGTTGTTGGGAGCCTAACAGTCTATGCTATTGAGAACGTTTTGGGTTGGATATGTTATTATGAGAGTGGGGTAAAATAGTAATTATCCCTATTTTTTACCAAATGTTTAAACATGGGCATGAATGGGTTAACGTGTCCAAACCAGAAATGCTCTCAACAGCATAGGCTGTCGGCCCCCAACAGCCAAAGTTATCCTGAGTAGGGTGATATGGTTATCTTCTTCTTTTTCTGATTTTTTTTTCTTCCTTTTACTCCATGGGACTACACAACCCAGGAGGGAGAGGAGATAAGGAGGGTAACCATCCCCCAAGAATTCACATCTGCATCCCACATAGGGCACCCTACAATATATATATCCCAATTGTATAGTGGGAACATCTCCCATTGACAATTTTTAGAGACGTTTTAAATGCATGCTGAGATGTTTATGTAGGCTTTTGGTGAGGCGCAGATGTGATCTATCTCCCAATCCCTGGTGCAGGTGAAAATTAAACCCAACGAGCAGAAGGCCTTAATTGCCACCTTGTAGAGCGATATAATTATCAATTTAATTAATTAATTAATGAAGCCCGATGGACCTTCTTTGGTGAAGTAAAGTAGCTTTTGCTTTACTAACAAGTCGTCAAGTTTATACTTTTTTTTTTTATTTTTGCAGAATTATGAGATTTAATTGGGCACCAATCCAAAGATTCCTCTCACAAGTTCAGGATAATATGATATATACAGTCGTATCGAGTACGAGAAGAATCTAACTAGCAGCTAAAGGATTTTATCTATTATTAGCACCAAGAAAAGCCTGCGCTAAATGCAAGTGATTAAGTTCTATAATTAAGTATGATTTTTATTTTTTAAGGGAGCTTTCCATAATAATAATGTCTTTGATTTATGAAACATGATATCAGTCACCAGATTAAAACATGTTTTATGTGTATTTTGTTTGAAGAACCAAGTCTTGTTTGTTTTTGAAACTCAAACTCAAAAGTAGAAAAATCAATTCACATTGGAGAATACCCCATAATATGATATCTAATTTTGATTACCTCCCATCATCAATCACATTGCAATCAATAATAAATTCTCATTGTCTAATCTAATTTTAATTGATAAAATTGATCCTATACACCAAATGGGTAGAGGCTTTATTCTCCTAATTTGTATAAACGGTTTCAATTCCCCATCTAATCAAAGTTTATTAGGCATAGACAATGATACGAGAAAAGTGATCCTTTGCTTCATCTTTAACCATATATATTCCCATGGAGACAAATTTTCTTCCTCTCTCACTTTTCACTTTTATCTAAATTCCTTCATTTTTATATTTATTCGTACATAAAACATGGTAGGTACAGATGCGAGAGAAAACGATTCCAACAAAAAAAGTGATACCATTTTTGAAATTAAAGCCACCTAATTAGCAATTTTAAATGAACCATTAACTTAAATAAATAAAGAAAAGGAAAGAAATAAAGTTAATAATATATAAAATATGCTTGTATATTATTTTTGTTTTAGGTGTGGAGATGGCTCAGGCTGTCTTCAAGATATGTCGCGTGGGTTGGAATGTTATATCTCTCTAGATGGATGATGGGAGACTCGTCTATTCATGTGGAGTGGTGGAGCCTACTCCTTTGTACCATCGATTCTCATCTTCATTAGGATAAAATTAAAGCCAGAAGAATGTTAACATATAAATGAGATGGAAACCTGCCGATATGTTCCCTGAACAACTTTATATGAAGTTAAAGATGTTTGGAAGAAGAAAGCAAGATTCAAGAAAATGTTGAAAAGTAAAGAATAGTCCACAATTGGCAAATGGAACATTCGATTCTGTGAATTATAGATAAGGGTGCAACTTGGGTGGGTTCGGGCTGGGATTTTGTCAAATTTTCAATAAATTCATCTGGAAGTGGGCCTGAAATAGTGTAAAATGCTAATTCGAGCCAACCCATGTTGCATCCTATCATGGATGCTTCAGCTGCTTGGTCACTAATGTTTTGGATTGGATAATAGCCTCCAATGCCACTTTCATTTTGATTTCCATGAATTGTAGGCTTTTACCAACAAAGAAAAAGAAAAGGAGAATTGTATTGACAAAAAAGAAATTGCAATTGAACCACTAGACTGGGTTTCAAAACACCAGTATTTGTTGGGCAGGAGATTTCATCTTAGAGAGAAGGGTAACTAGGGATGTTGGTAAGTTCTTTGGCTGGTTGCTGGGAAGTCTTTGGGATCATATTCCACTGTCACCATGATTAAAAAAGTAATGGGTATGGGGAATGGGCTACTCCCATTTTGTAGGCCCATGAAGCAAAAATAAATAAATAAAGAAAGAAAAATAAAAAAAAGGAGAAGGAAAAAAGAGAAAAAGTCTAAAATTAAAAGTTTGTTGAGATGCTTAGAAAATAGTAGTCTATTAGTCTAATCCTAGTTTTTCTCCATATACTTTTTCAATTACTACATATAAATTGATAAATGTAGATGAAATGCAAATTCATATTTTGATTATCTAAATTATATATACATATATCCATACATACATACATACATATATATATATACATATATTATGTACATAAACATTATAGTGGTCCTATATACGTATACATTATAGTGGTCATGATTCCACTCCTACTATTCATAGTACATGTGTAATTATATTACTGTCGATATTATATAAAGTGGATACTGCACTTTGCGTCAAAAGCATGTAGAAAATAAAAATATATAAAATAGATATATTATCTCTTGTTCACTATTAAAATATTGCTAAATACCTTCCCCACTTAATAATTTTTTTCTTCTTTTGATAGGTGCACTCGTAATTATTCTATTTATTATCATTTAAATGTTTCCAATATGTGGCTGTAATGTTATGTGTACACGAATGGGACAAATGTTTTGTGATCAGCAGATTCGTTCTTGTCTAATCGTTACTGATAGTGCCAGAAATTGCCTTTGAGAAGTTGGAGGTGATCCCGGCCCAACATGATGGACCCATGTGAGCTGCTTCCTGTATCAACTCACGTGCATTTATGTAGAATTCACGTGACTTTGCATTTGATGTGAATTTTGGAAAGACTCCAACTCTTGACTCTTTTGGATTAATTCCTCCTCTGGCTTCAATATTCAAAGGAGGAGGAAAGGAAGAGAAGGAATATTAGTGAAAATTAACCATGAAAGTTAGGGTCAGGTATGCCGGAATAAAGGAAACCTCTACATTTGTATGATACCGGAGAGTCATGATATCTGAAAATCTTGTAACCAATCCCTATCATAAATGTCGTAACCAATGTTATGAAATATATCAAACTTTAGGAAGGGTTGATTGGTCAAAGCTCTTTTCTTATTATCTTTTTGGCATTATAGATTTTTGGGAAAATTGCTGAAATCTCTCATGAAGCTTTTGGTTCTCTTTGAAATGAAAATATCTAAATTATACATTTAGCTAATTAGTTTGACCAAACCCTTTCTATCTCTTTTCTTAAATTGATTTATTTTCTACATCTGCCCTTTATATCAATCACTCAAAGGTAAAGTTGGGATTTTAAATATACTTTATTTTTTATTATTTTTTCTATAAAAACCAGCCTTAATAGTAATTGTATAAGTATTTTGGACATTTTGTGCCTCTGTTACAGGATTTTAAGAGAGATGATCTATTTGCAACTGTGTATAAAATTTAGAAGAGACGATTGCAATTATAAAACTTTAGGAGAGGTTTTAATAGTGGTCAAAAACTGAAGGGAGATTTCAGTAATTTACCCTAGATTTTTTTTTATTTTTCTATGAATTTTTTGTTATTTATAAAAAAAATGAATCGGATACCATAGCAACCCGAATCCATGTCATCGGGCCCCACCAATTTTTTTGGTACAAGGGGCCCACAAGTTAAGAAAAAGCTTGGTTCATTTATTACGATGCCGTAAAGGTAATGATACCGTAACAATTTGATCAATCACAAATTCACAATATACCCCGTGAGGCTGTGAATTTGGATCCATACCAGCATTTACCAAAAACGGAAGCGAATACTGAATAGGACTCGAGTGAGGTCAGGGTCATCCATCAAATCAGATATGAGTCTTCTTTGCATACATCACATCACAGAACTATGCGCATTCACCCAACATCTTACGGGTTACGAATTCTCGCCCAACTTTTCCTTGCAGAACAGATCCTGGGAAAAAGTAGGAACATTGAACGGCCATGATCTATCATCAATACAGTAATACAATATATGGGGTTGTGGGGTTCCAATTTCTGCTTGCTTCTCATTTGTCCACGTCGATATTTTAATCTGACGGGATTCCTCATTCCTCCGGTGGGCCAGGGAAAAACCCTCCACTCCAATGCTACGCCCCAAGTGATATCATATACATGAGCTCCACAAATACAATGGCCCAACGCAACAATATATAAAACCCCACTGAGGCCGCTAACTCCATCATCGAGTCGAGCTTAGCCTTACGCCCAGAGACAAAAGCACAAACAGTTGGTGCTTCATTCATTTATCTCATCGTCTCTAATTAATCCAAGACGATATCGAGATGTCTGGGGTGTGGGTGTTCAAGAACGGTGTGGTTCGCCTGGTTGAAAACCCGGCAGCGGAGCCTTTAGACGGAAGTAGTCGACAAGCGTCGACCACCCGGCGGAAGGTTCTGGTTCACACGCCAACTAACGAGGTAATGACGTCTTATGCGGTTCTTGAGCGGAAGCTGTTGGAGCTGGGATGGGAGAGGTATTACGATGACCCAGACCTGTTTCAGTTCCACAAGCCATCCACGGTTCACCTCATTTCTCTCCCAAGGGAGTTCAGCAGATTCAGGTCCATGCACATGTATGACATTGTGGTCAAGAATCGGAACAGCTTCGAAGTTAGAGATATGTAACCCGTCGTCCATTGCTAGCTCTCGATCGCTTAATTTGTCTGTGCCTCCTCTCTTGTATCTATCTCTATCCATCCACCATCTCAATTACTATGTTTGTTCCATGGGTTGTTTTGTTTTTCTTGTATCAACACTTCACCAGTCACCTGTTGGTTTTCTCTTTCTCTTTCTCTTTGTGGGTCTCTATCCTTTTAGTCTTGTACTGTGAACGTGGTGCTGGTGATTGTTTGTTTTTTTTTTTGTTGCACATCTTGATAGTTTGATACTTTGATTCAGCAATGAAATATGGGTTTGGTTTGTGGTGTAATAGTTATACTGATCTGTTTTTATTAATTTCATCTATGGTTAGCGCAGATACCACTGGAAGCATCATTTTTCTCAAACTTAATTAGTCGCGGGTTGTGTATATAGAGGTGTCAATCATGGTTTTTAAAAACGAACCGGAAACAGAACCGGTTAGGGGACCGGTTTCCAGTTAAATGGTTCAACCGTCCGGGTCAAACGGTTTGACCTGTGATGTCATAAATAAATTAAAAATAAAAAGTATTTATAAATAATAAAAGATAGCATAAAATTAAATAAAAAACAAAAAATACAGAAAATAACACTATACATAAAAAATAATACAGTACAAAATACATAAAAAATATAAAAATAAAATACAAAAAATCTAAAAATTACACAAAAAATTTCAAAATAAAACAAAAAATTGCAAAAAATACAGAAAAAAAACAACAACTCTAGAATGTTAAGTCCTAAAATGCAAAAACCCTTGACCTAAAATCAAGATTCACAGAGATAGATTCCCTTGGCACCAAAATAAAAGGGGAGAAATATGAGCATTCACTCTAGAATGTTAGATTGCTATGCAACCAAGATACACATTAATTTTACCTAATTGATCAAAAAATTACACTAATTTTTACCTGGAAGTGCTGCAAACTCGCCTTCCATAAAGCCTGTAAGTGTTGCAAATTGCAAAAAACACTAGCCGTCGTCGGTCGTCGTTAACCACGGTCGGTCGGTGTGTGCCACCGTCGAACACCGGAGGTGTTGGCTGCCGTAGGTGTTCGGTTGGGTGTGAGGGATGGCCACCGCTGCAAACTCGCTTGCCGTAAAGCCTGGAAGTGATGCAAATCGCAAAAAACGCTGGCCGCCGCTGCAAACTCGCCGTCGCCAGTCGCCGTTAATCATGGTCGGTCGGTGTTTATCGCCGTTGAACACCAGAGGTGCTGGCCACCGCAAGTAGTCGGTTGGGTGTGAGGGATGGCCACCGTTGCAAACTCGTCTACCACAAAGCCTGGAAGTGCTGCAAATCGCAAAAACGCTGGCCGTCACTGCAAATTCATCATCGTCGGTCGTTGTTAATCACCGTTGGTTGGTGTGTATCGCCACCGAACGCTGGAGGTGTTGGCCGCCTAAGGTGGTTGGTTGGGTGTGAGGGAGGAGGGAAGAACGAAAATGGGGTTCTAACCCTACATTCGATTAATTGACTTGGGATGGGGATATTAAAGGAATTTTGTTTTTTGTTTTTTTTTTATTTTATTTAAATCATTGAAAATAAAAAAGAGAACCCGCGAACCGCTACCCAGATCGAACGATTTAGTAGTCCGACTGCCCAGGTTAGCAGTTTTTTGACTTTTTCAACGTTTTTTAAGATTTCCAATTTTTAGTGTAATCGGACCCAGGGGCTGACCGGTTACCGGTTTTTCCGGTTTGAAAGTCCGGTCTGGTCCGGTTTTGAAAACCATGGTGTCAATGGACTGGTTTTGGGTTGGACCCATCTAAATCAAATTCAATTTGGATGGATTAGATCATTTGATGGACCAATAAGACATATTGAATTGGATTAGCCCGAATTTAATTGTCCAAAATATTTATTGGATTGGATTGGACCTGGTCCATCCATAATGAATTTATATTGGATTGGGTCGGATTGAATCAATATCCGATCAAGAATGCAGGTATCAATGGACCAGGTTTGGGTTGGAATCAATCTAAGTTAAAACTAATTTGAACAGAATGGATGGTCCAGACATTGAATTAGACTGATCCAAAACGGTCCAGAGTATTCAATATTGGATTGGATTGGACTTGGTCCCTGTAATGGGCTCATATCGGACAGGATCAGATGGGACCAAATCCCGTCCAATTGACACTCCTTATGTGTATAGAATGAATATTAAGAATTAATGTTAATGATGTGGACGTGGAGATGTTGAGGTGGCAATATAATGACACGTAGACAGATTCAGCCATCAGCCATCAGCCATCAGTTCTTAAAAGTGCATTCTGCTTGTGTTATTATTCTTTAATTTTGAACTTGGGGCAGGGCCCAAAATCACAGAATGTAATCGGTGGGAGAGTGGGGACCCAACCTCCATAGGGAGATTCTCTTCTAATGATGGAGAGGATAAGAATGCGAGGGATTTGATTGAAAAGATAGTGGAGGAAGAAGCAGCAAAAAGGCATGATCGTCACTTAAAGCCAATTATCAGTATTGCTTAGTATTAACGTCTTTAAGCCACTTTGCATCTCTTAAGAGCCAGTTCAAGAAATCCTTCTAATCCGCCTGAGAGCTTTTCCTTCACATACATGACATTCTATTTTTAATTAAGAAATAGTATTCAACAAGTGGGTATTTTTTATTTTCAAATAAAAAATTTCTTCTTCAAACATATAATTAACTCAACACTTAAGTAAAAGTGCCAACTTCAGTGTTGCTACCCATTAAAAATTAGCTACTTCGATGTGAGATCCTGATCCTTATTCGACTTTTTAATTTAATTTTTAATTCAAATAAAAGACCCATTATAAAGACTTTTAATAGTATGAGTTTATTCTCTCGATGAGATGAATTATTAACTACAAATATAACCAGATATAATTTCTTTAAATTAAATTAGAAACTCAAATTAGATGTTTTAGATAAATAGTGAACCCCAAACAAAATGATAGATGCAGTTGTTTTGTATTTAGGTCTTGTTCATTTTTTGTGAAATCTAAAAGTACAATAATTACATTAAGAGGTATAGGTGAACTTTTCTTTCCAGTGAACTTTGAATGCACAGAATGTTGTTCTGAATTCTGAAAATTATCAAATATCCATTTTGACCCCATGTATGAGAGTTTTTTTGTCCTTTTAGGGGTATCGTTGGAAAACAAAAAGTTGTATGATTGCACTTTAAGAGATAAGAGGAAATGAACGAACATTTTTCTCTTAAAGTTAAATGATTCCTCTTAAGAAATAAGAGTTAAGAGGAAACGAACATGCCCTTAGTATGCAGTCTAGATAAAAATATGGGTTGTTAATTAATAAATAAAACCTAATCTAATCTTTTTTACAAGGTAAGGTAATATTTATAATAAAAAAAAGAGAGTATACAAGGCATATACAATAAGCAACTGAAAAGAAGAGCCACCTCCATAGCTACCTCCACACAAAACCCCCACAAAGACAATGCCTAGTCCAAAACGCACAACAAGACCCCAAAAACAGGCTTGGACCCAAACCCTTTCACAATCAAGATTAGGCTCTCAACCAAGCTACAACCAAGGCCCAACAAGACCGAAACACTAACATAGACCAACCAACAAGGACAAACCAGCCTAAGTTGCCTAAATAAAAGTTGATGATCTTATTCTACCTCTTCTAACATTTTCTTTTAGTACTTCACAAACCTCTAGTGTTAGGTTTTGCAACCAAGGTTCAAAGTATCAACACGTATCGGCCAATATGTATTATGTCGATAGCTTTCTGATACGCTCCTACAAGGGTTGTATCAGATCAGACCATGGTTCAAAGGGTAGTCAAGACTTAAACCAACCCCTCTAAACCAATTTTGGAAAAATAAATAAATAAAATATAAAAATAGCACCGACACAGACCGATACACCCTCGATATTTAGAACATTGTTTGCAACCACCACATTGTAAAAGTCCTTAAAGGAAGGCTTTGTGCAAATGCTGTCGATCAACCTCCAAATTTAATCTTTTAAATAAAATCAAGCCTAACTTAAATTTATTATATAGATAATGGGTGTTAAATAAAATAGCTAAGATTTTCAAAAAAAAGAAAAAATAGTTTAGATTTCCAAATTCGATCTGACAACTTAACAGATTTGATTTCTCAATTCAATTTGATTTGTTAGGAACATAAGGGATATTCAAATCCGGCATTTGAATCAGATAATATTCAACTTATTTGCAACCCTATTATCCCCTCTAAATAGAAGCCTTCTTTCTCAAACATGTGTCTATCTGTCTTAAGAAAAGTGAGAATAGTTAGTTCCATTCTCAAAAAATGTGTTGATTTTAGACACATGACTATTATAAAAAAAATATTCACTTCAAAAGATGTGGGCCTATATTAATTTTTGTAATTAATTTCATAATTCAAATAAAATTAAATAAAGAATTCAAATTAGATATAATTATTGGATAAATAGTGAATTTTAAACAAAACGATATTATTACAAGAAAACAAAAAAAAAATGATATATCGATGTGGTTGCACCATTCTTAGTACAGAGCAATTTTATTTTATTTTTTGATAAAAACAAGGTTGTGCTACACAAGCAAGGCATAGGTCGCTCTTACAAATAGAAACTAAATCACATGGGAGATTATTCAAATTTAGATGAACAAAGCCTATGCTCAAATGGACTTTATTTGCAATCCAATCTGCCACTTGATTCGCCTCCCTGAAGACATGTTTATAAATAACAGCACCCTTACAGATGATCCTTGAGCCTTAAGCAATCCTGGATGGTGCTTATTAGACTCCATGGAGGAGAGACAAGACCCTTGAGGCAAGAGATTGATTTTATACTTACGGTCTATTGACAACTGAAGTGGCTGCATTGGATGATTTATTATTGCTTTGTATGGGGATCATGAATTCCATGACTGAAAGCTGAAATTTGATTGATTAACAAGTCATTACTGATCAATGAATTCGCATTGGCTCTGCACACACACCCTACATTATATGCCAATTGTGCATTGGGAACACCTCGCATACTCGGAATGCACGCTGAGATGTGCTATGGGGCATGTGCGGGGTGTACTTGGAGCATTGGGAGCATTGGGCTCTATAATATCGCAACCATGACTATATTACACACACAATATAATTACAGAGCTGCAACTCTAGACTTGATTGAGATCAACTTGATGGTGCACAATTTGGTTGTTCCTAGGGTCGGTCTGGTAGGTTGGCTGGTCAAATTGCAAAAAACTGAGAACAGAGGACCCAGGGTGGCTGACCCGATGTGGGTGCTTCAATGCTTAAGTTAGTAACTGTTTGCAAACTGAAGGTTTGTAAACTAGGAGGCT